GGTGCGGTGCGGTGCGTGCGAGCTGAGGGAAGGGCGCGTCATTGTCTCTGCCTTCCGCAGTTCACCCGGTACTCGGCCCTGCTGGTGGGGATGATCTACGGCAAGAAGCGATACGGTGAGTGCGACGCCCCGGGTGGCCTCTCGCCCTCCCCCGCGCGGTCCGCAACGGCACCTTGAGGCGGGCGAAGCCGTGGGCCCGGTCGCCATTTCCACCCTCCCCCCTACAGCGGGAGCTGCTAGGGCCTTGCCGAGGTGGCCCTCCGAGGCAAGCTGTTAACTGTTTTTAAGTTACAGATTCGAATGAAATGTGCTTCATGCCAGCGAAACTGGTTTTTCTTCCTTTTTGAGTGAGCTAGTAGGTGCAGAGCTTTGTGCTGGGTTCTAGAAATTGTGTTTTAAAGCAAGTATGTCAATGACAGACTACCTGAAGCCTATTGCTGAAGAAGAGAGAAGAGTAGAGGCTGAAGAGAAAAAGAAACGTGAAGAACTTGAGCGGATTGCAAAAGAGCTTGCAGAAGGTAGTCCCTTAACCTAATTTTTGCATCCTGTGCCAAAGCGCACACATTGGCTTGCAGGTGGAGTGCTGTTTTACTACAGTGTTTTTAGGAGAAATTCACGCTTACAGCTAGTGGGCTGCAGACCCATGTGGGTCCATGGAGCATTGGTTAGGGTTATCTAAAGGGTAAACAGTGCTGCTGTTTGACAAGCTGTTAGAAATGTAAGCATCAGTAGAGGAAGAATTAAAAAACACTTTGCAACCAAACAGGACTCGTTAAATGGGTATCTGAATTTCCCCTGAGAAAACAAAATGTTCAAAGCTGCTGGGTGTTCCATGAGGAATAATTGGAACTGCATATATCAGCTGTACTCAGATGTCCCTAATTCCGCTGGATGCAGCGAACTTACGGTTGGTTTTCTCCATGCAACACAGAAATCTCACTAATGTGACTGATCTAAAGCAGAAGTCATAGGCAACTGCTTGTGATTGCAACTCAAACTTCAAAGTGGTATTACTAGCATAGTGTTAGAGGTCAACTTAATTTGTTGTATCTCTCGTGTGAAGAGCGTATGCTGAAGGTGATCAATTTGGATTAGTACTGCTTCTTTTTTCTGATTCCCTTCCACCCTGTAGTATTGCTGCTGCAGCATGCTTTCCCTCATCCTTAGGATTATTTGTTGGGTCCCTTGTGCATTTCTAACAGAGGATTCCTCCCTCCCGCCTTACAAGAGGAGTGTGCTCTGTAGCTTGAATTCACCTCTAAGTCCTTATTTAGGTGGACTTGCAGTTAAGAAGAACTTCTAACAAAATTGGTTAATAACTCAAGCTGTTCGTGGTGCAGCTACACACTTAGTAACTATTTCCCTGGGAAATACTGACATTTGTGTTATCTTAAACAAGACTAATGTTGAACAAAACCTTGTAAAATTAAATGAACTGCACATACATAGAATCAAATATGCAAGTTGGTGAATTGTATCATTTTAACTAGAGTTAAAGCTATTTTGCTTGCACAGCTGTTTTACCGTCTTATATAGTCTCCATTGGTCATGGACTGAATAAATGTGTCTTCTAGATGTTTTGTAGGTTAGCCGAAACTTTTTGTGTTTTTTGAGATAGAGGCTGTACTATAGTCTTGCTACTCCACTTAATAAATAATGGAACTTAAAAGTGACGCACAGATGACTGGTCTGCTCTCCCAACAGTGGTTTTGCTGTGATTTTCCAGTTAGAAAAGCAATTGTTAAAACTTCATTCAGTGCAATGTGGTTGTTGGAGACTGCTAACTGGGTGTATCTGTAATGATAGCTTTTTCTGGGCTTATTTGAATTGTCAGTTCAAAAACCTGTCATTTAGTAATGAGTAAGCAAAATTAAAAAAGCCTTTACCCCAAAGCAATGAAATACACTTCTGTTAAATAAGCGGAATTCATAAACACTGGCTAGAAAGAAATGGCTTACTTAAAGGTAGCATTTGATCACACTAATGTTTTGCATGCGTTAGTACTGCATGGGAGTGACTAGTAGTCCTAACTGTATTTATTTTTTCTTTCCCTTCTAGCAAGTGAAGACTCCATACTGAAATGAACAAAAGATTGGATCTTAACTTCACACATGCAAACATTTGGCTAGGCTCTGAACTGTTCAGTGGTTGGTGGACTCTGCATGCTCTTCTATCAATAAAGTACTTACAATGTTTCAGTTGGTATTTTTTTGAGTGAATTGCACAGAACAGCAGCACAAGTACTTACAGAATGTGACAGGAAGCATTTGTCACAAGCTGGCCATTGCTGCAGCTGAAACACCCTGTTGTATTCCTCCAGCAACAGCCAGTCACTACACTTGTTACTCATAGATAATGTTTGTGATCAGAAAATATGATTTAATACATATGAGCAGGTGGGGGAGGCTGGCATGGCAGTGGCTGCCTGAACCTACTTATTAAATGGATTGACTGAGGAGTTGCTGTCATCTTTTTTTTCAGGCTTCTTATCACAGTGGATTTGTTAATCACAGTGGAATTATGCACAATTCTTGCATTTGACAGTGCTGACAAATTTGCGACTTGTCAAGCCGTCCTGAGATACGAGGAATTGCTGCTGACTCACTAGTCAGATATTTCTAAACACATAACCTTTTCAGATTTAACAAATAGTGAAATGTTGTACCCCAAACCAAGAACAAGTTACGGTCAAATTGTAGTCTGTCTCTTTTATAAGAAGTGACTGGCTATACAGGTGACTGACATTTTAAAAAATAGTGTCCTTTAATGTAAAATTAAGTCTGCTTTTAGCATGTAAGCTGCTAAGGCACCTCCTCAGCTGTACAGACCTCAGATGTCCCAGAAGACAGTCAAAGGCCTGTTCCTGTAGATTGTGGTGTTGAGTGACTTCCTTTATTTTTTTTTTTTTTTTGTCACTAACAATGCTAGTAATGCTCTCAAAGATCCAGGGAGTCTGGTTTCTTATTTGGACAATGGCTAGCTTCCTTTTTCTGACATTGCAGCTTAGACAGCTGAAACAGTGATTTCAGATATAAATTTCTAAGTGACGGCAGTGTTTCAGGAAACCTTGTCATATGTTTTATTAAACTAATTCCTTTTGATAAATGTACAGTCTTTTCTAGATTATACTTTAGGAGAAATAGATCTTTAACTGCTAGTGCACATTCTCAACTAATCAATCCTGTGTAGTGCAGGGAAATGAAATGCAACAAAATCGGATTTGAACTGAAAGTGTAACATGCCTAATAACTACAGGGAAAAGGGGTTAAGATGGGATATTTTCAAGGAGAAAAGAGGAACAGGAAAATGAGCTACATATTCTGATGACTGGGTTTTTAATTATTTTTTTTGCTTGAATGTATCCCTCATGATACTGAAATGGTTAGGTGATGCTAATGAAAATAAAGATCTAGGCTGCCAGTTAATTTAAAATTATGATTCTGTAAAATAGAAATAATGCATCATATCCTGACCTCTCAGGATAGCGGGATGTGTTGCATACTTAAAAGCCAATATTCTTCCAAAAGCCTCTTACTTCCAGGAGCTGTAAATTAAATGCGAATTGCCAGAAAATTTTTTTTCTCAAAGCACTGGTCTGTGGTGCTAGTGTTTAAGCTGTCAAATGGTGGTATCTGAAATAAGTACTACTGAAACTCAACACTCAGGATTCAGCTGCAGTTTGGTGCTTGAGCGAAATGTAACAGGATGCTTACTTACTTCAAGCTGAAGCACCTTTATTACTGTTCTGTTAAGAGCTGGCCATAGAGGTAGATAGTGCTTTTATCTTTGGATTGCTGGAGCTGAAGTGAGTTGCTGGAGCAGCTGTGGCCACCTGCTCTCTGGAGGGCTGAAGGTGCTTAACGTCACCTGCTCCTACTGTCCCACTTGGTCAAAGCAAGGAGTGTGCCCATCCCTCCTCTCTTTTACTTCCGCCATGGTGTTTGTTTATGCCAGCAATGATTTAGTCCCTCCCTGAGGGCAGCATGGCTGCTCCCAGCAGAGCTGAGCCTGCCCGTTGTGAGAACATGCAGTGCAGTGTCCCAGCCCGTGCAGTGGGGTAAGAGGTTTCTCTTCATAGAGGTCACTTAATGCAGCAGCTGTACACGGGGTTTCTGCAGCACTAGCCGTCTTGGAGTTTTGTTGTCTTGCCTAGCTCTAGGAACACAAATGACTCAATCTGAACTCTCCTGTTGCATTTTGCATTGTGTCTTTGTTACCCTCCCCTGGAAGTTGTCCTGCATTTGGAGCCCATGTCTCTCTTGTAACCTAGCTGAAAAATGCTGGGCTGTGCTGGGTTCTAAATGTGAAGGGCATGGGTTCTTCCTTTGCAGCCATGGATGTCTGTCAGATCTGTAGGGATTAGGGTACAAGAATCACCCACACAGGATGATGGAGGAGTGACACCCTTTCCTTACAGTCCTCAAACCTGGCTGCAGGGCCACACAAGAAAGCTGCCCTTGTAATGCCTCTTAGCATTGGGATAAATTTCCATGTGGGTAGAGAAAGTGCCGCAAGCCTCATGACAGCCATCCCACAGTGACCAAATGACTCCTCTGCCACCCCACTCTGGCCAGGCAATAGAAGATTATCAGGTTTGAGCCAAAAAAAGCCAATGCTAAACAGCTATAGTAAGTTTAACACTGTTTGCAGCAACACTAAGGTACCTATGAACACTAATACATCTTACAGCAACACCTAGTAGATGCAAAAGGACTGAAATGCATGAGTAAATTTATTTTTTTTAAAAGAAGGCCAAGGGGTGATCTAATTGCTGTCTTCAACTGAGGGAGACTGGGAAAGACAGCCTCATACTCAGGTGAGTGGCAAAAAGATGACACAGCGGACACGGGTTGCAGCCAGTACAGAGAAAATTCTGGTAAATTGGGTGGTCAGAATTTCACGAGTTCAGAGATAACTTTTTTCTTTAATTCTGTGGCAGGCTTGGTTACTCCGTTTCGTAAATGTCCTATGAATAGGATTCATACAGGTGTTTGGATCCTGCTTCATTTTTTCATTGATAAAATACACGGAAGAGAGGCAAGCCCATGGAAAGTAAAGGTGATCTGCCCAACTCTGTGCAGAAGCAGTTTCAGAAGCAGTCAGCCAAAGCTGCAAAAGGAGTGTTTGGCTTTGTATCTGCATCAGACTAAGAGCACTTACGTGGTCGTGTAGTGTTGATGAATGGTGGTTAGATGGTACCATTTTGCAAAAAAAAAAAAAATTAATTTCATTACCTGGCCTACAGTGTTCCCCTCAGACACTCAGGGTGTGTTAGGCAGTGGGAATGAGAGCCACAGTGAGGGGCAGAAAGGCAGGACAGGCTGCCTGGAGCTCAGGGCTGTATGTGCTGTGGCTAGATGTGACCTGTGTGTCAGACAAGAAGACAGCGGGAGCGGCACACGAAGCATCTCATCACAGCATCTCCCCAGGAGTGGGGAGGGAAGGGTATTCTCCCACTAGCTGTCCCTCTCTGGGTCATTGGATTGTGCCATTAGTGCTTTCCTTGGATGAGCCAGCCTGCAACACAAGGGATTGGGGCCTGTCCTTGGGAGCCATGGGTGAATGACGAGTGGTACCCTGCACTTTATTGTTGGATAATCTCAGACTGCAGCTGTTACGTTTTCTTGCTGGTCCTTTCACCCCTCCCTGCACCTCCTCTCAGCACCACCATTGCAAACGTGCTGTTTGCCTGTGGACCTGCAAGGATCACTTCTGCCTCCTGTCACAGGTCTTGAAGGAGAAGTTACTGTGACTGTTCAGCAAGTGCAGAAGACCGGCAAGAACTCTGCAGCCCCTCAGATTAAGCTGCAGGCGAAAAGCTTTACCTACATACTGTATCCTATCAGAAACAGATATAGTGCAAGGGGAAAATAAAAGGAAAAGGAAAGGTCTTAGCTTGCTATTTCTCTTATTGCCCTCCAGTCCCTGCATGGGGCTTCCCACAGTGGCGTGAGAGGCAGTCAGTTGCAGAGCAGCTAGGACACATGACTACTGACCTGCAGAAATGTTCCAACAAACCAGCCATGCGTGTCAGAGCTGTGTGTGCTGCATGGGGCGCCCAAGGTGCCACGAGCAGACAGGGGAGCGACAGGAGAGGAACACAGGAGTTGGTGGGGAGACAGCAGGAGGCTTGTCCTGTCCCCACCAGCGGGGCACAACTTCCTGCAGCACACACATGCAAGGTCCCTGCTGCAGTGGGGCTCCTGAGCTGCCCCAACACCACTGTTGTGAAAGGGAGCCTTGGAGACCCTCCTGTTCCCATGGAATTGAGCAACCCTTGAGAAACAGCCTCCTCCACTGGCATACCACCCTGCATGTCTGTGAACACCCCTCCACATACGTGCATGGTCCTCCTCAGAAATATACGGTAGCATGCCCGACCTAATGCTGTGCAGCTGTACGTGCACTCCCAGATGCATGCAGGCAGATGGGGCACAGCTGCCCACAGCCCCAGGTCCTGCCAGCACTGCTGAGCACGCTGGGCAGGCACCTCATGCTACTTCTGTGAGAAGACGTCCTGGAGCATCCTGTGGTGCCCCAAGCACCTTGCATTGGGCACAGAGGGCAGGAAGATTAGCCTCCTGGCTTTATTTCCCAGAAAATATTTGAAGACATCAGGAGCTTTCCTCAGCATTGCAGTGTGTAGTGGCTTGTGGTGACCTTTAAAAGCCCACTGTTCACCACTCTGCAATACAATAACCCTGTGGCATTTTTCTTGCAGAAAAAAATTACCTCAACTTTACGTGCTGTGTGATGAAAGCCACTTAGATGGTTCTTAATGAAACTGAGACATACAGCATGAAGTCATTACTAGGGGTATATTTAGCTTTCATGCAAGTGGACAGATTTCTGTATTTTCCTGAAAGACAACTTGCTGCTCACAGAATTGTTGCATAGTGACAGGGGATTACATCTTGCTTACTAAACTGAGACACAGATAAATGATCACTAGGTACCACCATAGCTCTAGTTTCCTTTTACTTGCAGTATTGTTGTAATGCAAAACAAGATACTGAAGGGTAAAAGCACTGCAGATAGCAAGAGTAGTAGAAGAAGAAGAAAATCCCCAGCAAAACAGATCTCC